AGCTGTTCTGTTAGCGCCCTCCGAAATTTCAAACTGTTCTATTTTGTCATGTTTCATCGTTTAAACTGTTCTTACCGTAGTTCGTGTATGGCTCATCTCAACAGTTTGTTCGTAAACCGAAGCAGAGTGTCTTCCATTGTGATCACTCCAGAATGGCGTCTGCCAGTGAGGGCGATGTCGCCCCGTGAGGATGTTATCGCAATGCAAGGAGTCCTGTGGGCGTTCATTTCTCTTTGAGGCGGTGAACATTCCTAGGCGGCTAGTATCTATCTGTTCTTTCAGAGTTTTCAAAAACTATCTGACGCTGCTGTTTCTATCATGTCTTTTCTTGTAATATAAAAGCAACGATAAAAATTGACAGCCGCATCAAACCGGCGAAATCTGACAATCAAGACCGCGAAACAGCTGGGAAAAAATATAAATGCGGATCGCTCCCTCTGTACCTTCACTGCCTATCATATAAAAATGAAAGCCCTCAACGTCTCTTTGCATGACGACATTAAATACGATGGGAAGCAGTGCCTCGTATATCATAATCAGGCATGTTTCAAAATGGATTAATGCCTACGAAAAACCCCGTTGAAGATCTGAACTGCTCATATAAGGGAGGGTGACCCAGCATTAGCGATCCATTCAGAGGCGTTCTTACACTTTCGAAATACCTTAGGCAAGTATTCGCCTTAATCATAGCGAACATTAATTTGTGAGGATCGATTCGATGAATCGTCTGCCATCATTTGCTAACGATGAATTAAATTTGATGATTGGAATCGAATGCGATTGAGGAGCGTTGCCAAAGAAATTCTGCCTGAAGGTACGTTGGTTGAAAAAGAGGGAACCACTGGTTCAGAATGAATTAATTCCGTCATGTCGACTCAATTCTTCAACGCGTAAACATTTATTGCTGACGTAAAATGCAGATGATTTCTATAAAGTACAGTTCCAGATGTTCAGAGCACGATCAACACGAATAATAATAATAATAAAAGTACTAGTGATAACGGTTACAATAATTTCAGTAAAAGTAATGATAATGATTATAATAAAGATAATAATTACTAAAATAATGGAAGAAAATAGCAAGAATGCTAATATGAATTGCATTAATAATAATATTGGTAATAATACTGTTGATCAGTGATGGGCAATAGCACTGTATTCGCTATTGCGCCCCTAGCGGACAAACGAGTTAGCTTAAGTCTCAAAGAAAGCAGCTCGCTGAGACGCTGACCAACGAAAGTAGCGTATGCTTGCGCTATTTTATGCCTGTGGAAGATGATGGTAAGGATGATTTGATTGATTCTTTCCGTTGCGTCTTTATAGCAACAATACGATTGATTGCGATGTTTTATCAGTGCGCATGTTCGATTCCAATCTACCTAAAGTCATGGAACATTTGAAAATTTGATCTTATATCCCTTAAGAATATTTTGATATCAATTATTTATTATCATCATCCCAACACAGTTTCATTGGACACAGACTTATTCTTACCAATATATTAGACCAACAAAGTGATTCTATTATAATGTATTGATGTGATTTATATTGAATTTTAAAATGTGATGACTTAATTTCTATCCCCAATTCTCTTTTCAAATTGTATTTTTACGATGTCAAATTTTGTTTACCAAGTAAAACGATGCGCCTACAGTGAAATGAAATGAAAAAAAGGTACTGTTCGATTTGCTTAATTGGATTGCTCCTTTTACAGGTTGCTATCATGGTCAATAACACTACAAGTTCTAAAACCTGGTGTTCCTCAAGGTACTATAGGTGCATCGTTTTATTTCCTCATCAACGATCTATCTCATCGTTATGATCTACCAAACGAGTATTATTGTTATACGTTCTCCGATGATGCAAAAATCTTTTCAGTCGATAACTATCCACCCATATTGACAACATTGCCGAATGATCAGATACGAATTCGTTGGAAATTTCAAACGAAAAAAAACAACTCAGAGAAACCCTCCCGTCCATTGTTCCTAAATTCCGGATTGATTGGTGATCACGGATTAATCATGAGATAAATTCATGTAATCTAATTCATGATTTTGGAGTTGACCTATCCCAAAAACTTTCATTTTGTAATTACGTTGAAATGGTTCTTAAGGACAGAACCAAAGACATAAGATCAAGTTCACCTCTAAACTCACAATCAGATAAATTTAGCATCAACAGTCATGTTTTTGTATTCTAAATATTTTACGTTTTAATTTTTCACTTTTCTTCTTTAATTATTATTTCATTGTTCGATGTCCACTGAGCAATGTTTTACTATTTGATGCAACTTTGCCGTTCTATAGCATTAAATGGTAAATTCATTCAGTTCATTGAAAATACACAATATTTTGTATGGTTTTAATTGTTCTGATATGCAGAACAGCTATGCTATAGTTCCTGTTTGTTTCAATTTGTCGAAGGTGTAAAATAAATAATTAAATAAGTACGTAAAAACAATAGTTAATATCACAACAGCAACTCAATTCATAACCACTCGCATGCTTCACAGAGAACACTTTAGGGAACAGTTAAAATCTGTTTTGTTCTATCGGTTTCCGCCCTTTGAACTGTCGCCTTCCATTCTTCTTCACATTCACCTTTAGAGGCTATTCACACCTCAAAACTCCGACACTGTATCTTGAAACGGTTTTGTTTTATATTTGGGAACGCCACATGCATGGAACAGGAGGAGTAGAAGGGTTTGCCTGGAACAGGGAGAATACTATTCTCAACACATCAGCAATCTGTTCTATCGAAATTCAACTGAAATTTTCAGATCATGCAATGATTTTGAACTGCTATCACTAACTCTCGCAGTTTTCCACGATTCTGTTATTAACGTATACCTTTCAAGGACAAAGTTGATCCATATTCCGAAGTTCGTATTTCTTATTTCTTTATCATACTGTAGATATTGCGTGTCGTAATTAGCAAGAGTCTAAGAGTCGTTTACCTTATCGTTTCACTGCAATTGCATACGACTTGATCGATGTTGTTACATCGGTTAGATACATGTTGGTATATTCAATTAGATATACGTTGTTATATCGTATATATGTGAAACAAAGGGATGGTTCAGTGAAATGAAATGAAATGGCCAGAGTGGTATGCCTGATAAACGCATATGCTGATTATGATACATGCTCAGTCACATTGCATCTCAAAAAAGTGATAAGTTATAATGAAGCGAATCTGGATCGGTGTTCAGTTGATAGAGAGTGAAAGGATCGGGGAAATGCGTGCAAAAGTTGCGTATGCTGATGCTGATAAAATAATTCAAACTGAACTTATCAATTGATATCGCCACAATCAATATTCAAGTGTTCAATGAGTGTATATCACCCGACTCTACTTTCATCACTGATAGATGTAGCCTTGTGCGTAATTGATACTCCGTAACGTAGCTGTGTGAACAAACCTGTGCTGGACAGTTTTAAATTGTTCCAGCCCACATGGCCTTAGAGAATTTTCATTGGTTGACAAAATTCGATAATGTTGAAAAAGGTGTTCCTAGGTGAACATACAAAAGGGAGTTGCAACGTTAATGGAACTCATAACGACACACGGTTTGGGATGTAAGCCACAGTGNAACCACTATTCACATAAACAAATTCTCATCACTGCTAGTTACGTTTCATGAACGAATTCTTCTAAGCGATCGCTGATTCATGTCGAGATTACATAGATTTCATTTTGCATGTCGTGCGTAATTAGAGTTGAGGCTGAATACCTCACTTCCGTACTTTATCTCCAATGTGATTATTCGAGACTTATTTTTAATAACGCATCTTTTTGCAGGCAACAATTTCTGACGTGGCGATGCTCATTGCAGTTCTCTTAGCACTATTTGCACGCGTCAACGCACAAAGTTCCCTTCCCGGTTCGCCTTATTTTCTTAGTTTGAGCGTAGACAAATAAGTCAAAACACGTGCTATGTATTGAGAAAAAATATTGACATTGGCTGAACACCGCTGACTAAAACGCTGGTGTTAGTCGTTACTTGAACTGTTAGAATGGAAAACCGCCTTGAAGGATGGGTTTGAGAATTCATGGTTAGTTTTGTAAATAGGTAAAAACTTTAAACTAACATATTCCACCGAGGCAAACTCGCTCGTGATTGATAGTTTTTTGAAAAAAACCATATGTTGCGCTCTATGAAAACGTGTCCAAACGTGATACCAACTGGCTCCACATAACTGTTGAAAATCACTTTGATAATAAAAAACGAGATGCTATTGTTAATATTGCAGGAGTAGATCCGTTTGGACCTGCGCAATGCCAATTTCACACCGACTGCGAATCTACGCAAATATGCGATTGGAGAAGCGCCACTTGCATTTTCAATACAAAAAGTAAGTTTCAGGTCGATTATTGTTTCAGGATGCATAGTGCTTTTGCAGGCGAGCAATTTCCTTCAGTAGTTAATCAGTGAAAAGAAGGCAAAGAAACGATATAGCGATTCACAGTTGTCAGGGACCGTTGTTGCACACGCGATTCTGACGTCGGAATATCATTTTTTTTCTACCAGTTAGGTGCGCACTGAGTGGATTGAACAAAAATTTGCTAAAATCGCAAAAAATAGACGATTTAGTGATGTCAATTGAGAAATACTGAATATCGAAATGAGCAGTAACAACGATTAATAACTAATAAATACAAACGCTTCGGTACGTTCACCATCAGAAGCCAAAAAGTTTTGCTAGAGAGAAACTCTTATGTCGGTGCTGTTCCTAATCGAAGAAGTGACAAATGATTTCGTGAAATCAATCGACTCATGGGAATGTCTCGAATCGAGCTGACATGAAATCGAAAGGCCCATGCTGACGAGGCTGGAGAATACCAAAATTGTACGTGTATATACCTAAAAATCAGGTGAAAAACTTGAAACGATCCAAATAAGAGTTCCAGTCTGATCGTGAGTTCTAATCAAGGCAGTTCAGTTTGAATCATGTCAAATTCTATGGTCTATCAACTGAACTTTTCAGACTGCGTAAATGATGCAAACTGTAACCCATTTGAAAGGTGCACGAATCTCATTTGCGTTCCAACTAATGATGGTTTGTCCTGATTTTGTGCCTTTCCACTTTAACACGATCGAACAACATTCTAAAAAATATAAGGCTCAATCGAAATGATCTTAACTAAAATGCCTTGAGCAATCGCAAGAGATTTGTTCTATGATTCATGAAATCTTTTAGTAATTTTCGATCAACCTATTGCAGATTGTCCTGATGAGTGTAACATGTACCACTGGTGTACTGACCAGGGGATATGCGTTCCTAATATGGGTTTACCATGTGCTGTTGAGATGGGATGGATTCCGTTCGGTACTTCGTGCTATAAGACGGTAAGTTTTTTCATTGTAGGATGCTTGATGTTTGAAGAATGGTAAAACTTCAAGCCTTAATTGAAGAGGAAGATACGAAA